TCTGTAGTAGTTTAAGGATTGAGAACTGGAGAACGTGATAAAATTTCGAAAAAATCTGCAAATTTCCAGGTGGAACTTAATAGGATAAGGTCAAAGTTGAGAATTAGGTTAAACTTAAAATTTAAGAATTCACAGTTATAATAAAACATAGTAAGGTCTGTTTTATAAATTCTTGAGGTAGTTTGAAGTCAGTTAAGAATTGGAGATGATGAAATAAATTTTGGTGAGATCCAAAAATTTTCAGCTAGACTTAAATAGGATAAATACTGGTTTGCAACTCCTCGCAGAAATTTGAGTATTGGGCACTAGAAAAAATAACAAAATTTCAAATAAAATGAAGATCAAAAATCAAAGACAACAACAAAAATTCCAATAAAATAGAAATACCTTATCAACCTTTAAAAAATAGGAAGAAATTTTTGAAAATTATGAGTGTAACACTTCAATTTGTCTGATGGGTTGCTCCAATTGCAGATTTAATTAACTTACATCAAGTCCATTAACCCTCTATGGACCGAATATATATTTTTCTTCACTATAAGAATCGTACGTAACATAAAATCAACAAATATCAACCAATAAATTCAGCAGTTTTGACAATTTTATTATAACAAATTCATATTGAAAGTTTGGATTAACAACGTTTGTACTATTGTGCCAAGATAATGTGCAATAGACTGAAAAGATAATTTTCCACGCCATCTTGTGGAAAAAGATCATAGGGGGCTATAGAGGACCTAATCAATCATGATCGAATAACCGGTAAATGAAGAAGAATAAAAATTTTTAAAAATGGACCCACGGGAGGTATTTTAAAAATAATTATAAATATATCGAAAGAAAAGTCGCAAACTGGAGTAATAAAGACGATAACGTTTAATTCAGTATTTAATAAAATATCCATACATTAGCATGTAATTTGAAAGTTACACGGGTCCATAGAGGGTTAACATTCTAATTATTTTTAAATTTAACCAATCTCTTTTTCCTTTTGTAAGGAAATATTCGTAAAAATAGGTATAAAACGTCCATAAACCTAGTGACAGAAATGCCAAAGGACAGTAAGCGATAGCAGAGCGAAACAAACGCAGCCTCGTCCAATTGGATTCTCGCCACGGGATTATCCCGTCGTTGCCCGACTAATTAATCGGAACTACCACGTGAGTCTAGTGTTACGCAATGGGAAGAAAGAAAAGTGACTGGGGAATCGGTGCGTAATACCCCTGCGTGGCCGTATATCAACTAGACGCGTGGTTCTCCCGTTTGGCCGAGCATAATGACTGTCGTAGCACCTGTGCAAGCCGTGGAATATTTTGGTCGACGTGATCTGCGTAAAGCGACCGCAAATACGGGTATTTCGGTGGCTTGACTCATCGCCTCCGTAACGCTATTTAAAACCGACGTCGTGGACCGATGTATCGAATCCAGTATTTACCTTAGCCTCGCGATAATTCCTCGAGCGATTTAAAGCGTTTCGCGCTGCCAACATTCGGTCTCATTAAAGTCTCGAGCTTCGAGCTTTCGTCGCTTTCTATTGTACATTCCCGAATTTCCCGCGAGCGAATCATCGCTGTCTAGCCAATAATCTCGTGTTCGTCGAGAAATGCTACTACCGTCAAAATAAATAATAAAATTATAAATAAATAAAATAAATAAAATAATTAAAATCCAACGACGCGTGGAATATCGAGGTAAAATAATTCTACGTCTTACAATTAACCCTTTACACCCGATGATTTTTTGGCTAAAGAAGAGTAGAAATTCAATGATTCTCTGCTAAAAAACTGACGGTACTTTTTTGAGCAGTAAATAAAGAATTGTATAATAATAGAATTGTAGAATTATTTGGTTTCGATACCTCGCTCACTGTTACATTACATTAAATTTGATATATCAATTAATATCGAGCTTCCAAATTTTATTAAATGGTGACTGAAGCTCACCTCTTGAGTGCAAAGGGTTAAAACTCAATTGCAACTGACCTATGTCAAATCACTCTTGTTTTTTTTTCTTTCTTCTTTCATACATTACATTACACGCACAATTCACGCAACACCTCGATCATTACACGCATACTCATTTGCCAGAAGAATATGAATTCGTTAGATATTAGCATCCTATGCATACATGTTCCACTCATTCCTTTCTTACATGCATTGCATTAAATTTGATATATTAATTAATATCGAGCTTCCAAATTTCATGAAATAGCGACTGAAGCTCATTTATCGAGTGTAAAGGGTTAATTTGCACTTCTTATTTGCCGTTTTGAAAATATCGTCGACTTTATGGCAGAAAGTCTTCGAATTACTATGTTTCTGTAACGAAAGGATCGCCAAGTGCAAAGGGTTAATCCATCCCACTTCACCATAATTCGCTTTTATTTCTCGAACGCGTGAAATCAGGCTCATTATCCTAACTGTGATACCATAATGGCGGCAAAACTTCGATATCGTCCATATCACAAAGATCCATTTTCCTTTCGGATAGGGTATAGGATATGGTAATTAATTTTACACCTAGTCGTGAAAGTGATCATGCTCGAACCTTGGTGGATAACCGTGATTCATTTCCATTTCTCATCAGCCACGTTGTACTAAATAATTTCCCGATAAGAGCGGGAAATTTGAATATCGCCGAGTGTAGTGCAAGAAATTTCCTAACCTAACCTCGTGTAAAGATATCGATAATTCCGCGTCTGACGTTGACACTCGCTATCTTAATGACAGGTGTAATTAATTTTTATTTCGAATCAGTCTCCTCAGTCCAAACTCGTTTTCCCCACTGACAGCGCGAGTTTCGATATCTCTGTCGTCTCGGCGAGGATTAGGTCTATCTACGTGCAAATTCGAGGCAAGCGCCATGTTCAGGTATCTCGGGAAACAATTACTATTAACCTGCCCATTTAATCGATCTTTGTATCTCATTCCTGTTTCGTTTATTCCCAGACGTGGAGCGAAATTGGCCCCATTTTGCTAAATAATCCCGTGATAGGGTAATAAATTGGAATAGCAATGGGTACGCAAGGATGTTGCAAGAACCTGCAGAGATAGAGCGTACCCTATCTGAAAGTAAGGTATCTGAAACGCCTGTAGAATCCATTTAGGACTGGTTTAAGTGTCTCTTCTCGAACTGCGCGGCCACTTGCAACCTCTTTGCCTTTAACAAACTAGTTTCGCCATGTCGTTTTAACCTTTACATCCACGCGCTGCGGCGCGAGCAAGAACGGAAGCACGGGGAACACCATGGCCACGTCGAAGGAGCTCGGTTCGTTGATCCGTCCTATCTCGCGAAACTTTCCTCGGAACGTTTCACTCGTAAATTGACAGAGTTAACGAGCAGATATAGAGGCGGGCGCACCGCGTGTGCGCGCTTTATCTCGCTTCATGGAAACCTAGCAATAAGGAAGCGCGAGATTTCATAAGCTATGGAGCACGGCCGAAATGACTCACTGATTAGGCTCTCCCCGGCTATCGAGAGATCCGCGGCACGGGACGTGATCGAGAGCTGTCGCTGGCTACTCCATGCGAGATTAAAGGTCGCTGGCTTCCTCGCGATCTTCGTTCTCTCCGTGTCGCGGGGAATCGTTGACCCACGCGTTAGATCTGTCCCGGTTGCCAGCGATAACGCTAGTCAGCAGGCGCTTCTAGTTGCTTAGAATACCAATCGACGTCGCTGCAGTTCCGTCCCCGGACACCCCAAGTCGGCGACGTGCTTTCAGCAGGTTAGAGAGGAAAGCTTCTTGACAGAGGATCCCTGAGTCCTCCAAGGGTATAGGATACTTTGGTTAAGGAGTAATGGAAAATTTCGCGGAGAAAAAGTCGTAGCATAGGTATTCGCGCGAATATATCGTCTCGACAGAGGATCCCTGAGTCCTCTAGGCCTAAACACAGTGGGTCTCTATGTCATTTGGACCTAGACAGAAGATCCCTAATTCCTCTAGGCCTAGACAGAGGATCCCTGAGTTCTTTAGGCCTAGGCACAGAGGGTCCCTGAGTCTTCTAGGCCTAGCCAGAGAATCTCTGAGTCCTCTAGGCCTAAATACAGAGGGTCCCCGAATTCTCTAGGCCTAGACAGAGGATCCCTATGTCCTCTAGGCCTAGATAGAGGATCCTTGAGTCCTCTAGGCCTAGATAGAGGATCCTTGAGTCCTCTAGGCCTAGATAGAGGATCCTTGAGTCCTCTAGGCCTAAGCAGAGGATCCCTGAGTCCTCTAGGCCGAGACACAGAGGGTCCCTGAGTTCCCTAGGCCTAGACAGAGGATCCCTAACTCCTCTAGACCTAAACATAGAAGATCCCTGAGTTCTCTAAGCCTAGACAGAGGATCCCTGAGTCCTTTAGGCCTAAGCATAGGATCCCTGAGTTTTTTAGACCTAGACAGAGGATCCTTGAGTCCTCTAGGCCTAAACAGAGGATCCCTGAGTCCTCTAGGCCGAGACACAGAGGATCCCTGAGTCCTCTAGGCCGAGACACAGAGGATCCCTGAGTCCTCTAGGCCTAAACACAGAAGGTCCCTGCGTCCCCTAACCGTAGAAAGAGAATCCCTGAGTCTTCTAGGTCTACACGATACTTTGGTTCACTCATACAAGAAAATATCGCGGAGAAAAAATTGTGACATAGGTATTCACGCGAATACGTCGTTCGATTAATTAATTCTCATTACACAGAGAGTAATAGTTGCCCAAAGAAGAACCAACGAAGTATAATACCAGAGAAAGAACGATCTACGTGCCCCGAGATACGTTTTATTTCCATCGGCCATCCTGGACCACCGTTAACGATGATTCACCAGATCCAAATCGCGTAAACGTAGAACGCAAAACATCCTCCTACGAAGTTTGACAAAGATCCCTCTAACACGCTGTGAAATCTAAACCCCGAATTGCCTCGAATTATTCTCCGCTCCCTCCCCAATCCCGAAACTTCATAAACACTCCTTCGCACCCGATGCGCAGCAGAAAGCGCGTAACATCTGACGAGATCACCCTTCTGATCCGCAGCAGCGTCTAGCTCGCGTCTCGATATAACCACGACTGACGTCAGGAGCGGGTACCCGCTCCAACAACAACAGCAGCCGCAGCAGCAGCAGCAGCAGCCATCCTCGTTGTCACCGATGTCGACTCTGGTGTGCTGCGAGCCGGTCTCGGCCGGACGGTCCCGGGACAATCTGAAGCTGGTTCTGAACCGCAGCCTGAGCGAGCCAGGACCGCCAGCCAGCGCGTCCACGTTCTTGTCCTCACCGACGTCCACGGTTTCGCCTAGCTCGTCGACCAGCAGCGGCGTGGACAGCTGTATCGCCAGCGACGGCACAGAGTGTAGCCTGAACGCCAGCGGAAGCAGCATCAGCGGCTGCAGCAGCTCCAGCAGCGGCACCGACTGCGAGCTTCCGTTGTCCGACGTGCATCGCCACTACCATCATCTCCATCACCATCACCACTTCCATCAGCATCAGCTGTCCGTATCGAAACGCTGCAAACTGGAGACCGTGAGCCTACCGGCTAGCCCCTGTTCCGAGAACAACACGCTGCAGAGACAGCTGGTGCTCGAGAGAACTAAGACCATCACCGCTGATGAACTGGTGAACCGTCTCTTCACCCGGGACCCTGACAGTCCCGTCTTGCTGGACTGTCGCCCGTTCATACTGTACAACGTGAACCACGTCAGAGGGGCTATTAACGTGAACTGCTCGGATCGGTTCAACCGCAGGAGGCTGCAACTGGGCAAAGCGAGTCTGGCTGACCTGGCCAACACCAGGGAAGGCAAGGAGCTGTTGCGTAGAAGGCATTACAGGGAGGTGGTCGTCTATGACGACTGCACCGACGATGTCGACCGACTGCCTGTTCAGCATCCCCTGTTCCTCGTCCTCGTCGCGCTGCTGGAGGATAACAGAGAGCCTGCTCTACTTTTGGGTGAGTCCAATTTTCGATTATTTTTATTCTCAAAAGAGCATCGTTGTTATGGTTGTCGATGGAAGATTTCGAGGCTTTCGCGAAGTTTCGCGAAGTTACACGAAGATTGCGTTGAGAGAGTCTGAGAGCTCTCTGTCACGTTTTATAATAACATCGGTGGTTGGAGAAATAAACGACGACCCTCGTTATATTCGTTGTTTGTTGTTTATATAAGATCACGTGGGAGTGGCTGACTTTCGGAAATAACGATGATGCGGCGGTCGCGAAAGTCGCTTCTGCGCCTTTTCCTCCGCGTTCTTCCCGCAAACGCCGAATCATCCGCACGCTTTATTTGCCCGAACCCGGTGTAAAAATTTACGACTTTCGCTCGCCCCCGGGATATGTACTCTCTCGCGTATCGTTTCGTATTTTATCAATTATCAGCGGCCGTTCTTGCTCAAGAATTCGTGCAAAAATCGCGTATATTTATCAGGCGCTCGCTAAACGCTGCCTTCCATTCGCATCTTCATAAATTCTCGTCTCGCTCTCTCGGCAGCGGAGAGAATTTAGAAAAATTTCTCGCGAGCACGATAAGATAAAATTGCCAATAAAATTGTTGTACGATCTCTCCGCGCGACAAAATTATTTGCCTGTCGTGAATTATCGTGTAAGTATAATTAATTAGCTGCTTAGTTGAAGAAGCATATGCAAATCTATATTATAAAATAATGTGGATCCTTTCTAAATCTCGTTACCTTTGAAGTAATTTCTCTGATATTTTTCTGACAGTTTATAGTAATACTTGTAAAATGGCGGTGTTATTTGTGGCCTAAGCGAATAATAAGCAGACATTTGTAAACAAAGGTATAAAGCAATGTTTCTTTAATTTTTATTTCGGGAAAGGTGAGATTTTATACTGATACGATAAAAATGGCGGTGTTATTTTTCGTCTAAGCCAATAATAAGCAGTTGTTTATAGGGGAAGCTATGAAAACTAATTTTCATTTAATTTTTATTTCGGAAAAGGTGAGATTTCATATTAATACGATAAAAATGGCGGTGTTATTTTCACTTTGGCGAATAATAGGCGAATAATAAGTCATATAGAAGAAAAGATACGAAGACTAATTTTTCTTTAATCTTTATTTCGGAAAAGGTAATATTTTATATTAATATGATAAAAATGGCGGTGTTATTTTCACTTAGGCGAATAATAAGCCTTCACTGATAAGAAAAGGTGCGAAGACTAATTTTTCTTTAATTTTTATTTCGGAAAAGGTGATATTTTATATTAATTCGATAAAAATGACGGTGTTATTTTCACTTAGGCGAATAATAAGTCATTTATAAGCAAAGATAGAAAGAATAATTTTCCTTTAATTTTTATTTCGGAAAAGGAGAGATTTTATATTAATACGATAAAAATGTCGGTGTTATTTTCACTTAGGCGAATAATAAATCATTTATAAGCATAGACAGAAAGAGTAATTTTTCTTTAATTTTTATTTCGGAAAAGGTGATATTCTATATTAATATGACAAAAATGGCGGTGTTAATTTTCGTCAAAGCGAATAATATAGTAATGATATCTAAGCAAAGGTATAGAGGTTAATTTCTCTTTAATTTTTATTTCGGAAAAGGTGATATTTTACAGCAGTAGGAGAGAAATGGCGGTATTTTTCGTCTAAGCAAATTACAGGCAGTCGTTTATAAGCAAAGCTATAAATTTGCGCGCGGAGAACGGCGGTACGGCGCGAGGAAAAGTTAAGATCGTATGGTCGAGCGTTATTGGCCATAAATTAATTTTAGCGCGAGAGGCGCGGAGGAGGAGGCGTGAATCGCAATTAGTTTGGCTGAAAAACGGGTTGCTCGTGAATCGGCCGGGAAACTGAATGGAAAACGCGAGGGAAACGTGGGTGGCAAGATTGCGTATCGACGGTGGCTCGTGCTCCTCTCCATCGAGGCTCGAGTAACAGTACTCTGTACTCCACTAAACGCGTTTTCTCGCCTCGTTCCGTCCAGATACGCCGATACGTGCTCGTTTTACGGAATGCGGCTACTGGTGTGTACGTCCACCAACTGAACCACGATCCATTGACGGGACGACGAGTATTCCGCGTCGATTCTGTCGTTGAACCTCCTTTCTTGGCCTGCTCGACTTCCACTCCACCTTTTTCGATTCACCTTCGTTCCCGTTTCAACAATTTTTTTTCTTTTTTTCCTTTTTTAACTTCATATTAATCTTAATATGTTATTTTTCTCTTTTAACTTCATATTAATCTTAATATGTAATTTTTCTTTTTTAACTTCATATTAATCTTAATATGTAATTTTTCTTTTTTAACTTCATATTAATCTTAATATGTAATTTTTCTTTTTTAACTTCATATTAATCTTAATTAATTTCGGTAAATTCTTCGAATAGAGATATTTAGAAAGATATCCTTCTTTTATCATTTTTTGATCACTATAGAATTGCTATAAAATTTAGATGATCAGTTATTAGAATAAATTAATCCAATGGCAATAGTACTATATAGATGGCTATACTTAGTACTGTATTGTTAATTGTTAGTATCTCTTGCGATAATAGATTTGTCTATCATTCTAGAATTGCTATACAATTTATGTTGACCAGCACATAGATTAATTCAAGGGCTATATTACTGTTTAGGTGGCTATACTCGGTACTCGAATTTATTCACAATTTTGAGTTCAATTTGTATCTTTAGTCTTGGCAGATTGGGATTTTCTTTTTAGGGTTAGGAAAAGCTAATATAGCTGCAATTTGAGAAAACGATTAAATATATGAGACAATAGTGGATATTTCTTTTTTATTTATTTTTATATTTTTTTAATTCTTGTTAATTATTTTAGTTCATGCTTCAAAGGAAGGTATCTAGATAAATATCCTTGTTTTATAATAGTCTTTATCCTTTTTAAACCTTCCAAATTTATTGACAATTTTGAATTTAATTTGCATCTTTAATTATGGCAGATTGGGATTTTCCTTTTAGATGTAGGAGAGGCTAATATAGGTGCGATTTGGTTATTTGAGAAATCGATTAAATATTTGAGACAATAGTGGATATTTTCTTTTTATTTTTATTTTTTTGATTCTCATTAATTATTTCTTTTAGTATTTCAACGGAAGATATTTATAATAGAAAGATATTCTTGTTTTATAGTCTTCTCTTTTTAAATCTTCCAAATTTATTGACAATTATGAATTCAATTTGCATCTTTAGTCATGGCAGATTGGGATTCTCTTTTTAGGGAGAAGAGGAGGATAATATAGGTGCAATTTGCTTATTGGAGAAATCGATTAAATATATGGCACAAACGTGGATATATTTTTTTTTTAATTCTCATTAATTTATTATTTCGGTTAATACTTCAAAGGAAGATATTTAAAGAAATATTCTTGTTTTACAGTCTTCGTTTTTTAAGCCTACCGAATTTATTCACAATTTTGAGTTCAATTTGCATCCTTCGACACCACAGATTGCGATTTTTTGTTGTTTTTTCCCTGGAAATAAATGTACGATTTATTTATTTAAAAATTCGATTGAACGTATGAGACAGAAGTAGATATTCATTTTAAATTTGAATGAGTCGAAAAATGAATGATCGACAAATTCATATACTCAAACTTTTTAAGATTCTGGAACGTGTAATTAGTCACCTTGACCTGCGAGCGATTTGCGTAATAATCGATTCTTGAATATTTATTTCTCTTCTCATTGCGTTTCTTCTGAAACGCGACTCTAGTTTCCCATTCGTCAAATCCACCAATTCCACAGTAAAAAAGAAAAAATAGGAGAAATTGATTTTAGGTAATAAATCACCCATCGGATATTTCATCGACGGTACAATTTTGAAAAATTCGATCATTTATATGTATGAATGAATCACGTGTGTCTATCCAGTCTAATTGCATCTACGACAACCGGTCATTTGTAGCAATTCCGTCGTTAAAAATTCACGTACGCCATGCGAGAAAGCACCCCGAGCACTTATCTCTATTCCCAGAACCTACGACAGAAAGACATCGATCTACCATAAAAGAAAAATCCCACGTGACACTTGGCGGGAAACCCGCGTGAAGGGTCGACCATGTGTTAATGGTGGATGAAATATTAATAACAATAAGAACAATTCTTTATTTAATTACGAAGATTACCAAACACAAATATTAAGTTTAAATTTAATTAATTTATCACGATCACATGCACCTCTTCTCACTGTTAACCCTTTGCACTTGACGATCTTTTGGTTAGAGGAGAGTAGAAATTCAAAGATTCTCTACTAAAAAATTGACGATATTTTTTTGAGCAGTAAATAAAGAATTGTATAATAATAGAATTTTCGAATTGTTTGACTTCGATACTTCGCACACTGTTACATTACGTTAAATTTGATATATTAATTAATATCGATCTTCCAAATTTTATAAAATGGTGACTGAAGTTCACCTCTCGAGTGCAAAGGGTTATGACTGTTAATATTGTAATTGTTTTTAAATTAAACTAATCGTTAAAAACAAGACACCTGGTTTCTTTTACCTGTTAATTTGACAGGTGCCAAATATGTATAAATAGGTATACAGATGTGAACCCTTTGCGCTCGACGATTTTTTGGGTAAAGAAGGGTACGAGTTGACAAATTTTCTGCTACAAGGCTGATGATATTTTTTTAGCACTGAATCAGAAATCGTATAATAATTAACACGTAGAATTATTTCATTTCGACACCTCGCACACTGTTACATTATTTTAAATTTGATATATTAATTAATATCGATCTTCCAAATTTTATAAAATGGGGGACGCCTCTCGAGTGCAAAGGGGTTGCAATTAATACTCAGTTGCAACTGACGTATGCCAAATCACTCTTCTCTTTTTTCTTTCTTCTTTCATATATTACATTAACATACACAATTCACACAACACCTCAATCATTACATTCATACTCATTTATCACAATAACCTGAATTCGTTAGATATTTCCATCCCATACAT